TACTCTTTTTTACTATTTAAAAAATTTTAATTATATACATATATTCTCTCTTTATCGTACATGTAAATCTGTCATTGTTCGAATTGCGACGCTTTAGCTTTTCGTTTTGAAAAGCTTTTTTGGATTGCGGATTAACGGGGAAAGAATTTTTCTGACGGCGACCTTGGTGAGGCACGCGTGCGACAATGATGAGAGAAACGGGGGGTAACGATTATCGATTTTCTACGCTTTTGTGAATTGTCTGGGCGCGCACTTTTCACACTTCTGTCTCCTATGTATTCCCCACGTTTCACGTTTTCGTGCCATTTATCTTGCTTGTGCTGAGCTGACAAGACAAGGAACGGACTGGCTGCCATCGACCGACAATTTTCTTTATCGCAATCGCATTTATCGTGTTTTTTCGCTTAGGACGAGTTTTTACTGCAATAGAATTCGACATTTTATTGCTGCTACAGAATGATGCTGTTTCGTTGCATAATGCAAGATATATTTGAACTATACAATGCACATGCAGTGCGCATATTATCTTTAGCGTCTTTAAAATAATTATATAGATATATATACATATAGCGCGCTTTATATAATATATATTAAATCTGAAATGTTTCACATTGATTATGTTAAACATATTTTGGCGTTAAGTAAAATCTCGCAGAATGACTTATTTAAAAATATTATTATTATAATCAAATAATATATATGTTAAATTATTAATTTAAATACATATCTTATTTATTTTTATATACATTGCTAAAAAAACTTAAACTTTTTAAACTTAATTATAAAAGCTGTTTTTTTACTGAACTTTAAATGTGTGTGTATATGTGTGATGTCATTACATCGTGCGCTCATATATCGCGTGCATCTCCTGTTCATAATAAAGAGGGGACGCAGATAACTCTCCTATTCTGTATATGTTACGTGTAGATAAGATAATAACGGGTCATGTTCCAATGCATTTTGCAACGCTGAGAAAATCTGATAAAACACCGAGGGCATTCCTCTCTTGGACCATGTTATCATTTTGTATGTAACTAGAGTATGCTAATTTTCTAGAATACAAACGCTTTCCAGTGTCATATTAACACATCTTTGTATCTTTTGCATATATTAAAAATCTCTTTTAAATTAAATAATACAAAATTATAGTATATAATATATAGTTTTTATTATTTGAAACATTTATTTACATGAATCGTATAAATAATTAGTGTAATTGTATTGTAGGATTAAACAAGTCTCCAATAATATATATTTCGTTAAAAATGATTAGTTTTGCGAAATAAAATTTCACATACGTGAACGAGATGTTATATGTAAAATTGTTATTGATTGATATGCAAGCCTTCCGATTGTCGTTCAATTTACTGGCTTGACGTTTTGATCGTGAATTCAAATTTAATAAAAGGTGAAGCCAGATCTATTTGACTTATATTATATTGAAATGTTTACATACTATTAATATATATATATATAACTCAAATCAATTGAAAATAGAATTCCTTTCTGAAAGAATCAGTTAATAGTTGGCCCATGATGATAAAAAAAACGAAGTTGTCAGTTATTGCACATGGTCTGTATAGTTCGAACTATTAGAGAGATACAGAATTCTGTGGAGAACGTATCGTTGATATCTATATCAGCAAATTTTGATGGCGAATAACAGACGAACGTGGATGCAATTTGCCAGCGCGAATGGAATAGTCCGGCCTCGGGAATATAAGGTAACGAAGCGTATGCAACGCGATTCGAACGAAGGGATGATAGGATAGACTGAAAGCGATATTCATCGATTATACGTGTCCCAATAAATCCACGAATACGGCCATTTATCGGCAAGTATCTCCACAGCAAGGATTTGATATTGCACGAGACGCGCGTTATATGCTCGCTTATGGAATTTGATGTTCACGTGGCGGTTTAATCAGTTTCGATGAGGATTTATCGGCGGCACACGGGGAAAATATATTTTCGCATTAATCTATTACATTGTTAACATTGGATCATACCGTATTATCAATTTTGTAAGATTGTTATATATATATATATATATATTTTTTTTTCTTGTTATATACGATCACAAAAATTATTAGAAGATATTTGAAACA